GGGAAGACCAGCCCGGAGCAGCAAGTGATTGCGCAGATTCTCGGACCGGAAGAATTGAGACTGCGAAAGCCATTCAAGCAGTTCGAGAAAGCTCACCCTCTGTACGACGCGTTGCGCACGGGGACGACGTTCAAAGTGGCCCCGCATATCGACCAGCGCCAAATGTTTGAAGCCGTCTATAGCGAACTCATTGAAGGTGGCTGTATCGGAATCTTTCCGGAAGGCGGCAGCCATGACCGTCCCAGCCTGCTTCCCTTGAAGGCCGGTGTCGCCATTATCGCATTAGGCGCTCTGGCTCAGGACCCCAACTGCGGCCTGTCGATCATTCCCTGCGGCATGAATTATTTTCACCCGAACAAGTTCCGTTCTCGCGCTGTCGTGGAGTTCGGCAACCCCGTTCACGTACATCCGGACCAAGTCGAAGCGTTCAAGGCCGGTGGGACTTCGAAGCGGAACGCTGTGGGATCATTGCTAGAGACGATTAACGAAGCACTGGCTGCCGTTACTCAACAAGCGCCTGACCACGAGATACTCATGCTCGTCCAAGCCACGAGACGACTCTACCGACCTCTCCGGATGAAGCTCCCCTTGCCGATTGTTATTGAAGTCAACCGACGGCTGCTCAAGGGTTACACTCAGTTCAAGGACGAGCCGAAGGTCCTCCAGCTAAAAAAGGCTATATCGGACTACAACCGACGCCTTCGAGCCTTGGGTATTCTGGACCACCAGGTCGAATGGGGCGACGTCAAGCACCGACCGTGGTGGATGGTCTTGGGCACGCTGTTATATCGTGTGGGTGAGCTTCTCACTCTGGCCGTAGGAACACTACCATCTGTCGCTCTCTTTTGGCCGGTCTTTGTTACCACCAAGGTTATCTCAGTTAAAAAGCAGCGCGCAGCTCTTGCCGGTTCCGTGGTCAAGCTTGAAGGCCGGGATGTGGTCGGGACCTGGAAGATTCTTGTCGCAATGGGGCTGGCGCCTGCCTTGTACACCTGGTATACTGTGGTTGTGACGACATGGCTACATTACTGTCGCAACGATGGGCATTACTGCGCCGTATCACCTTGGTGGACGAACCCCAGAACCTACGTTCCCGATAGCATTCCCCTGTGGCTCTTTTCCGGATTTTTCTTCGGTCTTATGATTTCCGTCTCCTTCGCCGGTTTGCGAATCGGCGAGATCGGCATGGACGTACTCAAGTCTCTCCCGCCCCTTCTTGTTGCCTTGAACCCCATCTCGGCAAACTCGCTGGCCAAGCTGCGGAAGGAACGCCAAGCTTTGTCGACCAAGGTGGTTGACACGATCGATACCTTTGCACCAGAAATCTTCCCGGACTTTGAACATGAGAAACTCGTTCCCCATGGCTATCCTCATGATGACACCTACCAATCTCGGCTGAAGAGCATGCCACCCAGTGAGCCCGAAAGCCGAAACACCAGTAAAACCCGAGGCAGCCGCAGCCGATCCCGAAGTGCCGGCTTCCTCCAGGATACCCTGCTCAAACCACTAACGATCGGATCGAAGGATGATCTCGGCGCAGTCAACCGGAGAATTCGCGACTCGATGAAGGAGCGAGGCCGCGAGCGAGTGCGAGCACAGTACGACTCGGATGCGGACGCTGTGTTGGTTGATGGCTCTGGCGGCAGCGACAGCGGAGATGGAGCAGACGAGAAGAAGACGAGATGATTTTCCATCGATGAATCAAACCCAGAGATTTGAGGGAAAAATCGAGAATGCGAAGAGTGGGGCATATCTGGAATTACATACTTTCTTTGTACAAAAGCGCAATAATGGTCTATGAGAATTAAGTTAATGAGTACATGAGTGAAGTTGAATCCTCGCAGACCTCGGTACTGGATCGATCCTCTATTACCTGACCTACAGATGCAACATGACCCCTATAAATAATCCATCACATCTTGTTAGACACTGCATTCATCTAATGTCAGTTTATACCGCATATTCGAGGAACTAATCTTAGGACTCTCGGTATCAAATGCGCCCGCAACCTTCTTAGGCACCAACGCATTGCATTCAACAGATCCACGGACTAACATAAGTAATGTCCTGACGCTTGAGTCGGCGCCGCACAGGCCCCGATAGCTGCATCTCGAAGTATTTCCGCTATTCTTGGCTAGGTATAACAAGTTAAGTCCCCTGTACGCCTGCGTCACTAGGTGGGTACCACTTATCATCCTCACAACGTGGGAGGTTCGTGTGGTGCATTAGAGGAATCGTATTACTGCAGATTATCTACGGTGTGACGTGATGAGGTGCATATTACCCCTCCTAGAGCGCTGATCACTCCGGCGCCATCGTAAGATGAAGATCTGAAGAGAAACGATAAGCGAGGCCAATGCGCGTGCGTTGCGGCCAACATGAATCGGAAGACTCGACTTCGCCATACTGATTTTCTCCGAGCAACTACATTCACCTAAGAAGTATCAATATGGCATCGACTGCGCCTGCCGATATCCCTAAGGGAGCACAATCTGATCCGCTCAGTGGGGACGATCGGAATGGTGTGGGTGAGACCGAGGTGCTCTCCCCAGGATCCCAGAAGCTTCACAGGAAGCTCCGTGGGCGAGAGGTTCAGCTCTTTGCGGTCGGAGGAGCTATCGGTACATGTATGTTGATCCTCGACCTGCTCCCAATTGCCGCAATTTAATGGTTTGCATCAGCGCTTTTTGTGCAAATGGGCGCGGCCTTGCCCAAAGGTGGCCCGGCCGGCCTCTTCATCGGATTCATTGCGTACGGCACTATCGTTCTAGCCGTAAATGAATGTTTTGGTAGGTCTCGATCTTGGGATCCATTCAAACCGTGGCGATTACTGTATCCGTGTTGCTATATAGTGTGGTACCAGGCTAATGCTAAGAGGCACATCCAGCGGAGATGGTTTGCTACATGCCCATCCCATCTCCCTTCGTGCGCTTGGCCGGGCATTGGGTAGACGATGCCTTGAGCTTCGCGATGAGCTGGAATTTCTTCTTGGCCATGGGTTAGTTCTTTGCGTGTCTGACACCTTGTCACCAAGTATACTCACACCGGGTGTGTTCAAACACCATATACAGCGCTAAACATTCCTTATGAGATTGTCGCCATCAATGTTCTGCTTACCTACTGGACCGACAAAGTGCCCGTTGCAGCGGTTGTCGTCATAGTCATGGTCCTCTATGGGTAAGGAGCTCACCAGTTGCTTAGCCCAGGATCGTACTTTAACCCTGTTTAGGGTAGTGAACTTTCTTACAGTTCGTTATTTCGGCATTGCTGAGTTCTACTTATCGTTTTTCAAGATATTCTTGATGCTTGGCTTGATCCTCTACACGTTCGTCACCATGGTGGGCGGCAATCCCCATCGTGATGCCATTGGATTCCGATACTGGAACGACCCAGTTCGTGCACACTTTCCGATTTGATCGCTCACAACAGATACTGAGCTAATCAACTCGCCTTGTTCGACGACATGTAGGGAGCATTTGTCTCACATCTAGTGCCCGGTGATAGTGGCCGCTTTCTTGGGGTGCTGAGCTGCATGATCCAGGGCGCATTCACGTAAGTGGATCAATTCACCAATTTAACTTTCGACATACCCATCTACAGTATTACAAGTGGTATGCTAATAGCCAATGCGGACGGTAGAATGGTCGGGCCGGAATTTATATCCATGGCGGCTGGTGAAGCTGAGCGGCCCCGGAGAGTCATGCGCAAAGCATTCGCATCATTCGGCTGGCGTCTTATGTTTTTCTTCTGTTTGGGAGCACTCTGCGTAGGAATCGTGATTCCTTACGACGACCCCACGTTGGCTGCCATGCTGGACGGGACTAAACAGGGCAGTGGCACTGGTGCCGCGTCAGTAGGATTCAGGACCTGGAACGCAAGAATCCAAGTTCGCTAACCGCGATCCAGGTCTCCCTATGTCATCTCCATGAACCACTTTGGAATTAAGGTCCTCCCAGACATTGTTAATGTGCTGATCATGACCTCTGTCCTGTCCGCGGGAAACAACGTCGTGTTTTCCGCCTCGCGGACCCTATACGGCATGTCCTTAGAGAACAAGGCGCCAAAATGGATCTCCAAAACGAACCGAGCCGGATTGCCATACTACGCGGTGGCCATTGCCATGGCATTCTCCCTCCTAGGCTTCCTCCAGGTCAGTAACAGCTCGGCCACTGTACTCAATTGGCTTGTCAGTTGCATCGCAGGCTGCTATCTCCTCAACTACTTCGGAACATGTATCACCTACCTACATTTCCACGCATCACTGCGCCACCAGGGCGTATCACGCGAAACCCTCCCCTATCGGGGTCACTTCCAACCCTACACGGCGTGGTACGCTCTGGGCGGAACAGGAGTGATGGTCCTGGTCTTGGGGTATAACGTCTTTCTTTCCGGTGGCTGGGACCTGGAATCGTTCTTTCTCAATTATGTTATGATCGGATTCTATGTGCTTACGTTCATGTTTTGGAAGATCTTCCGGCGTACGCGGTACGTGGGGATCGGCAAGGCGGACCTCCAGTTAGGGGGTATCAAACGAGAGATTGATGAGTATGAGGAGATGGAATATGCTCGGAGAAGAGGAAAACGAGTGGCTTTGCTGGATCGGATATTCGAGTAGAGCGTCCGTCCACGCTCACTCCGTATCAAGATCCTTGACCATACTTGACATATTTAAGTGAAGTAGCTTTGGATAGAACAAAGAGCTAGTTTCAGCCCCCATGGCCGATGTAACCGTAATAGTGGAGCCAATTCTTTTCCAGGGGAGAAAAGATCAGGCTCCGAGCGCCAATCTGATGTCTAAAACTGACGATCGCTGCATCAGCCCGCATAATTATGGATCCACGTCAGTCCTGCGGGGAGAAGGCAATAATAAACATACGACAAATGACTCACGAAATGGATTAGTGCTTACCGTTGGTTATTCTATTTATTGTTCCAATCCTGGAAGACCAGAATTCGCAGTCTTGATTCTAATGACAGCTGCTACAACACCCTGCCCCAAAATGACGACCTCCGACGAACACCACTCCAGCCTCCCCTACCATGGGTCCTGCCATTGTGGATTTATCAGATACATCACCTTCATTCCAATGCCACCAGCAGTCGCCCCGGATGGGGCCGAGGGTGCCCGCCTCCGGTTCTACAAGTGCAGTTGCACGACGTGTCACAAAATGGGATTGTTCCACATGCGACTTCCGGACGCGCCGAACCAATTCTTTTTACTCTCCCCGCTGGACCGCAATACGCTGGCTAATTATAAATGCCCGAATGGCTATATCAATTGGTTCTTTTGTCCGACGTGCGGCGTGCGATGTTTCGCGACCGTACCTCATTGGAAGCAGGACCAGATCGATATCGAAAGCATTTCGGCGGCCATTCCCAGTCGTGACGGCAAGCCCGATCTGCCGGGTATAGAAGAATCGACGAAGACAATCACAGTGTGGCGAATGGATCCTGAGACATTCCAGGAGGATGTGACTGGGTATCTGACGATCAATGCACTTACCATCGATCAAGACCAACCCCATGGAAATAATCTTGATCTGCGCCAGCTTGTGGATAACAAGTTGGTCGAGTACATGGACTGGAACACAAAAAAGGGCGATTGTCGATATGATTATCCTCATGACAAGGGGACCTGGTAGAGATTCCAGCTAGTATGTCCTCTGAGTATTGCAAATTTGAGTCCAGATCGAGTTCCACATATTCCGGACAATATACTGTTGGATTTCATATTTATCGAAGCGTGCGAGGCGAGGTTCTGGTGTACTGCGGGGGTGGAGTATTGATGGTAAAGGTTATCGGTGATATTCGATATGGAGTATGGTTTGAGGGCAAGAGGCATGACGATACGATAATGAAATGGTTGATCTTTGATCACAGGATGTAAATTAATCAAGGGGTATGAATCGAGTGTAATGCGGTGTTTATTGCACATATAATGAGACGTCTAGGACGGGGTGGACTGAGGAATATATATCTCGGGATGTGGAAACAGCAACAAAGGAACGTAACGACATCAAAAGTGATTCAACCTCCCTGAATGCGTCTTCAAATGGACTTGACATACTCACGGCAACAACCCGCTTCCATTCCAAGCGTTTGAAGGATTTGACATGAGCAATGGACGAAACAACGGATGGGGGCATATGTCCGTACGAGTTTAAACTCCATTTTTGCTTATATAGTTAAATATCAGAGCCATTACTCGACAGCTGGCCGGCTGGCCCAATGGCAAGGCGCTTGACTACGAATCAAGAGATTGCAGGTTCGATCCCTGCGTCGGTCATTCTTTTTTAATTCCCGCCATTCTCTCTATGGCGGCCAGTACTCCGCCACACGTCCGCCCTTTCCAACATTCTTCTACTGAATCTCCTCTCTCTCCCCTGTTTTCCCTGCTCGCGGAATGTCCCTCTATCGCAGCCATGGACTCTCTAAGAACCCTTCTTATATCACCACGGAAGTGGACCTCAGTGCAGTTTCGAGCGCTCAATTTAGCTCAAAGCTACCAAGTTTCTGCTGATCGCATCTTCGGCAGGGAATACTTGCCCGCCGATGGACATGAAGGTTGGTTGATCCCTATCTATGCTCGTTGTCTCCCAATTCACAATAACACGCCCATCAGAATTCGAGCACCTTGCTGCGGAGCTTACAGGACCGTGTGAGCAAGATCTAGCGGATTTCGAGTCCAAGCGTTCCCTTTACCGACCAAGTCCGTTCCATTTGGTTTTTGTGCGACTTCAGGAAGCAGCATAGTCCAAAGACGGCTCAGGCTTCGCGACAAGCTTTATCACCCCTTTTGGAGAGCATAATCACCCACGTGGATGCCGCTGAACACTTGTTAGTATGGCCTGTTGGGTTGGCGCCTGAACGGACTAACACAACACAGGCAGCTTGTTTTACGCCCAAGAATTCCATTTGAAATCCGTCCTTATGGGATACAAGGTTCGCTCAGATGTGAAGGCGCCCTGGTAGATATATCGCCTCCGCATTTTGCTTGGGCGACGTTCTCAGTAGGGTCCCGTAATATCTATTTGTCTATCCGCTGAAACTGATTCGAACGAAAGGTTGTGACGGAGAACAACTGGAACATTTCCCTGGATATCTCGCAGATGCTTTTACAGGGCTTTCTGGCCTATGAGCAGAATAGCCAGGACCTAAGCCATAGGTCTTTTGTTTTACGTATAGATAAAACGGTGTTGCAGCTCTGCACGACAACAACATCTTCTGCCTACTTGCTGACTTGATTCTGGGAAGGTTTCCAAGCGAGAAACTTCGAGTGTATCATTCTGAATCCTACGACCTTCGTCAACGTGATCGACGGAAGGAGGCCTTGAGGCTGATTATCGGCCTACTCAGGCTGCTTGGCACTAGAAGGGAGACAAGTAATAACTTCAGCTAATCATTGAAAAATTGTCTGCAGCAAGCCCATCTCAGCGTTACCACTTTGGAGGTATTCAAAGATACCGATAGAGAGTTGCAAGGCGAGGGCCCTACCTGACCCACAACCTCTCTATTTCCGGCATTGTCGGGCTGTTGGCGTACGCTAGATACGTGAAAAGTGCGCTGTACTCAACCTGAGATGCGTACCATGCATGCTCAACACGAATGCCTCCTGATCTCTCCAACCCCTACCTGAGTGATGTGTTCCATCGCATGACCTAAGAGCTCTGCCACTTCCTGGGCAAGAACACCTGAGAAGTCTATCTCACTCTCGCCCCCTGGCCGGCAGATATTACCGGCTTTTTGCCTAGCGCCCTTATTAGCACGTTATATGGACGATTTGGGATACCATGCGTACCTCTAGCGACAATATTGGTATGGTTCCATATCTGTTGGAGCCTGTATATGTCCCTTGATGAATCAAACAAAGGCCCCGTTGTTGAAGACAGGCACCTTTGTATCCGTCCCGAGGAGAATTGTCAGCTCCAGGTCGGGTGCAGCTTCAATGTCATTAGCTCGGAGATGGAGTTCACCCATTTCGAACTTTACAGGTCGATGGTGTAAGCCAGTCCCTGGGACCATAGCTGGCCGGGTAACCATGGTCTCTGCGATGAACAAATGATGCTTATCGCTCGGCCACATCGACAAAAGTAGGAAAGTAGATGGACCTTTCGGTGTATACCGCTACACTGGCACTTGCCATTTCAGCTACTGGAAAATTAATCAAAGGCCGAGGACAATACGGTCTATGATCTTAGTATATGCCTTAATTTCTCTACTTACATGGTCCCTACTCACCAAACAGTCAGGGTCGAGGTTTGTATGTACATATATTTGTCGCATTTCATGCTGACTTCTCGTCTATCTGATATTGACCAGAACTAGCGCTATAGTGCAGTGTCCATTCCCGTGACGCTACATCCTGCAGACTCTTAGGAGCTCGGCTCGCTGAGTTCCACTGTCCAGGCCAATGCTTCTCCAAGATTTGGGATGCCATTGGTCCCCGAGCTGATCTCCTGCACCATCGCATAACGACTATCATTACATGCGCCGCTTTCGATGGTAGTAGCATGATAGGCGATCCACGTCTGCGAAGCATCTGGGCTTTGGAAGAATGAGTTATGGCCCGTTCCGTAGTTTCCGTTCGCCGATGACAAAAGGCAGCCGTCGTGCTTGCTCCAGGCGTTCTTGTCTGTTGGGTCGGTGGCTCCGTCCCATGTAAGGAGTCCCACGCAATAGTAAGACGTCCAGCAGTAAGAAGCCGAGTACGCGATATGCGTCTTGCCGTCGAGATAGAGGGCCGCGGGTCCTTCATTGACCGGTGTACCGTGCGTTTCAAAGTCTTCAACAGGCTCGGAGATCACGGAGATGTCGCCCGTCAACGAAATGTAGTCCGAGCCCAGCTGCTGGATGCAGAGGGATTGATACGTGACGCCGTGGAAGCAGGACCACACCATAAAGTTGCCATAGTCGTTGAAGCGGACGATAGACCCGTCAATTCCCCATGCCGTGGTCAGTTGGCCCGCGTAGGTGTAATCATCCCAGGGAGTCGCACCACCTAAAGACCGTTAGCCCTATAAAGCAATGCGCCGAGGTTAAGCGGACAGCAGCCTACCTTCCAACACATGCATATTCTGACCATCCAGATCCACACTATTGCCGGCAGTGTAGTAAATGTACCACTTATCACCCAGGTAGTGCACTTCGGGGGCCCACACATTGCAGCAGTGAGTCTCCTCGGTGGTCGTGTAAGCGACCTTCTTCTCGGCCGTCTTGAGGCCTTCGATGGTAGTTGCCCGGCTGACTTGCACGTCATTCCAAGTCGTTGTGAGAAGGTAGTAGTAGCCTCCGGAATACACCACGAAGGGGTCACTGCCCCCAGGATTGCGAACTGGGTTCGTGTATGCGGAGGCTAGGGGGAAAATAGCCAATAGCCCTAAAAGGGCCTGCAGGAATCTGAACAACATTGGGGCTTGCAAAGAGGTTGTGTCCGTTTGACGCAAACTTGTCAGTCCTAGTGATCGTCCACTCCTACGCCGGACACGGTATTTATGCACCGTTGCGCATACCATGGCCGTGCCAAACACTCACCAGTCCTGGCCTACCGCAACAGCTCGCTGGTGGCATCTCGTATGCCGAGGCCTCCCCCACCGGAAAGATCCCTGTTTGATACTGACGGGGATCGCGAATATTCCGGAGATGTGGAGCACCGCCATGAAGAAAATCATCGGCCAATGCGGGGGAAGCCCTGCCAAGACCGTGACAACCGATGCGTTAAACGCCGGAGAAACTGGTCCTGCACACTGGCGCTTGTGAGTTGTGGAAGAATTCCCTCTCAGGTTTCTGGTCAGGAGCCTAGGTGCTAGGCATTCATCATACAGTCCGCCGTAAATTGGAGGGTTCAGCTCACCTCATAGTAAATGTGAGACGCTTGTCCAAGAGGCCGATACACGTCTGATATAACGACGCGGACAATTTTCCGGAGCGTCTCTTGGCATTGCCTCACTTATCTATCGTCCTGGCGCCAGCCGTGTATTTAAATACTTCCAGTTGAACTTCTAGCGAACTGAGGGAACGTTGTAGGAGTCCACGTGCCTTCGAGGAAAGTCTCAACATAGGTAAAGCTCGGGACGGTTTCCGCCAGGGACAAGCTTTCGCTTTCCCAGGGGCGAGCGCTTTCCAGCCCATGAGACGAGACTTCACCCGAATCGGTTTTCGAAATAAGGCTTATGAATGGAACGGACCGGCCATCAGCACGGAACCGGAGCCGGGTGAAAGTCTAGACCATTAATCGCCGTCTAGCACTGCTGGACTATTCAGGAGGTCTAGTAATCCTCTGCTATTTCGCATAGTGGAGAAAATGTGGTCTTTCTTTGCCTGTCCACTGGCACGTTAGGCACCTATCCAAGGTTTAGGTTAACCTTTCCGATAAAGACCATCCACATCAATACATAGGATAAGCCGATAAACAAGTGGATGTCATCCCCACTCTGCCGATCAAATACACCTGTAACCTACTACGTACAGTCTCCGCTCGACTATGTCATTTCCGGCTCAGATTGACGCTAGACAAGCCGTTGATTACTCAGTTAGTAGGTATAAAAGAGACTATGCCCTCCCATCGGGACAAAGAACAAGATCCCTGGTAAAGGTGTCTGGTATACCATTGTCGTGCTACAGGTTAAACTAGCTGCGGCCATCCCCACGAAGCTGCCTTGATGTTGTGGGTTGTCTTAGGGCACTCTTGCCGCATGATATGGTCTTTTTCAACAAAGACCACCTTGTTCTACATTTTCTGACGAAGGCGTCGGAATCGGTGCAAACTAGGCCTCGACGCTACTAATTAGGTGGGGCTGAGGCCCTATTTATATTCTAGGAAACAAAGGAATAGAGGACAGAGAGATCTGATGCTAGACCTTAAACGCGACATCATTATTTCTCACTGCGTGACGTTTACGCTTAGAGATAGACAGTCTTCATCTGGAGCGGCTCTGCTCGTAGGCAGCAACGTCACCCAGCTGGCAAAAGGAACAGGCATGTAAGCATGGGGTGGGTCCATTTTGATGGCGTCATGTTCATTCAGATCAGATAATGCATATTCGAGTTCGGAAACCAGGTGTGTACGTGCTGGCTTCTAAGCTAAGCATTCTGTCTACCTGGGCCCGCTAACGATTGGGCTTCCCACCAGGTGGCGGTATACCGTGTCGGGTAGAAGACATCGGCCAGGATGATGATCCTGCATTGACCTGAACACGGCTGATTGGCGTTCTATCGGAAATTAGCTTAACTTAAGCTGATAGTACAAGTATTATAAACAAGTATCGGGTGCTTCCTGAGGCATTGATTGGCCGATGATAAGGCATCCAGCCAAGCCCTAGTTTAGTCGCAGTCCGTTGATGTAACCTGGAGCTTACTCTCGGTCTCTCTGTCTCTCTCGCTGGCACCATCGCATGGCCTTTATCTATCAGCCAAGGTTTAACTCCCTCGTGCTCGCTGATCCGTAACCCTGCCTGAGTGCATATCAACTATCAGTTACCATGGAGGCCTGCGTGAACGACAATCAATTCGGGCCTCGCGTCAATCCGCAATGCCGTTCCTTTGACTTCACCCTCTTGTTTGAAGATATCTTCTTTATCGCCCTTCCTGCAGCAGTGCTCCTCGTGCTGTTGCCATTGCGACTCCGATGGCTGCACCGTACATCAGTGAAAGTCAAAACTTATCGGTTGGCTATTTGGAAGTTATCACTCCTGGTAATACTGTTTATCTTGCAAATTGTCTTTCTCGCCCTTCGCCTGAGGACTCCCGCCATCCGCACCAATGCATCTCTGGCAGCAGGAATTCTCAATATCGTCGCGACCTTTGCTGCGGCATGTGCTTCGTTTTTGGAGGACCAGCGGTCTATACGGCCGTCTGATCTCTTGGTGATTTACTTGACAATGGCGGCCATTTGCGCCATAGCCCCACTGCGCTCCCTGTGGTCTATATCCCCTACAAGCGCTTGCACAGGGCTCTGGACGGTACTTTTCGCTATTACCGTTGCGTGTCTTTGTGTGGAATCGGTGCACAAGACCGGCCTTTTGCGTTTGCAATCTTATCACCCAACGAAAGAGCAGACTTGTGGCTTCTGGAGCCGAAGCTTATTCATCTGGCTACTGTCGTTTTTCCGTGTAGGCTACTCGCATATCCTTAGTATGGACGATATCCCGGAAGTTGATCATGATCTCCGAGGACATGTAACGGGAGACAAGCTTCAGAAAGCTTGGGACAAATCGAGGGGCAAACATCGGTTGGTCAGGGCGTCGTTTGCGGCTTATCGATTCAGCTGCCTGTCAGCAATCGCGCCACGATTGGCTTTGTCTGCCTTCACTTTTGCCCAGCCCTTCCTCATCACAGCAACCGTGAATTATATCGACAGTCCCTCAAGCACAGAGTCCCAGAAGTACGGACAAGCCCTTGTAGGCGCGTATGTGCTGGTATACACAGGCTACGCGGTAAGTTGAGGCTGTCACAGTCCCCACGGCTTGCTTCATGTTCATTGACAAATAGATATCCACCGCGGTGTACTGGCGACAAACATTTCGCTTTATCACTATGCTTCGATCTGGCCTTATATCAATGATATACAATCAAACCCTAGGTTTAAGGCCGGAAGATCTCTCCGACACAGCCGCTATTACCATGATGGGGACTGATGTCGAAAGGATTGATTCTAGTTTGAGAGCACTTCATGAAGCGTGGGCTTCGATTCTGGAGGTCGCAATTGCAATCTGGCTATTAGGACGCCAGATATGGATCGCCTGCTTAATTCCATTGATCATCGCAGTCATATCAGTCGTCGCCATGATACCAATCTCAACCAAGTCTGGAGAAGCTCAAACACAGTGGATCGATCGCGTGCAAAAACGATTATCTGTCGTCTCTGGGACACTGAATGATATTAAAGGTGTACATATGCTTGGGCTTACGGATCGTCTGTTCTTTCTCATATCAGAATTGCGCAAACTGGAAGTTGAGACCTCGAAGCGATTCCGGAAGCTCCTAATCTGGCAGATTGCGATATGTAAGTTCGATCCCAGCGTGACGGATCAATGGGTCTTATGTAGCCAACTTTCGTTTAGCCAATGTACCGATGGAATTCTCCCCATTTGCGACATTCGCCATCTACGCCATTATATCCGTCGTGAAAAAAGACACGACCTTGCTTTCTGCGCAAGCGTTTACCTCTCTAGCTTTAATCTCCCTTCTCACCGGCCCGCTCCTCAACTTCTGCCAAGCTATGCCTGCTCTTGCCCAAGCCATTTCCTGCTTTGACCGCATTGATGAATATCTTACAATGGATCCCCAATCGTCCAAACGGCCAAAGTCAACCGATTCAATTCCTCGGCTTTCTGACGACGGAGTGGAACTACAACAGCAGCCGAGTGGTGCATTACCCAAAGACCTGTTGGCATCATTCCAAGGGGCCACCATATCGAAGTCCCCCGATGCCGAAGCGGTATTCGATCGTTTAACCCTCAATATTCGGCGTGGGGTGACGATGATTACTGGACCTGTCGGATGTGGCAAGACAACGCTCCTAGAAAGTATTCTGGGGGCCAGCTTCCTCAAGAGCGGGTCAACAGTGGCTTCTCTTTCACGGGCTGCATACTGCTCGCAAGAACCGTGGATCCAGAATCAAACTATACGCCAGAACATAGTCGGACCTCATGAGTTTGACGAAAAGTGGTTCAAATTTACTTGTTGGGCGTGCGGTCTGGAAAGGGATCTGCGGACAATTTCCGATGGGGACTCGCACATGGCAGGAAGTAATGGCATCTCGCTTAGTGGAGGCCAAAAGCAACGGATCGTATGGGTGGTATTCTTTCCAAAGATACACATTTGGATGCTAACTCCGACTCACCTGTAGGCATTAGCTCGCGTAGTGTATTCGCGACCCAAGTTTATAATCTTGGATGATCCATTCAGTGGATTGGACCTGAAGACGATAGCCCTCATCTCAAAGCGTCTTTTTGGTGTTGAGGGTTACTTTAGAGCCGAGGGTGTCTCAGTGGTCCTGGCCACTAACTCCTGTAAGTGACTGGACCAATACAATAACTACATAATGGCCTCCGGTAGTTCCATTGCAGCCCATGCTGATGCCAGGGTTTGCAGATAATCTTCTTGCACATGCCGATGAGGTTATTCTCCTGGACAACGGGCAGGTTGTTGGACAGGGCACGTATCAGCATATCCTTGAGCGATCGCCGGAAATTGCTACCACGTTACAGGACTTGCGTGAGGATGAATCAGCATCAGATATTGCTGATACTAAAGTCGCTGATTCCGAGAGTCGGAGCGAGCCACCTTCTGGTGCAGGTCCTGATATGACGACCCACCAGGATGCTGACTGGTCCAGGCAGCGTGGAACCTGGTCCGTCTATCAATACTATTTCCACAATGCGGGCTATGTCTCTCTTGCTATCTTCTCAATTTTCGCCGTTATATACTCTTTCTCTTCCGTTTTTAGTAGTACGTCAATGCTGGGCATACTTAATTTTGAGCGATATGCTAATAGGTTTGCGTAGCATTATGGCTTCAGTGGTGGGTGGAGGAGAATGAGCGAAAGCCTAATAGTCGATTGGGAATGTACATTGGAGTCTATGGCTTGATATTTTCCTTTTCTTTCGTTGGCCTTATTGCGGCATGCTGGTGAGCACTCTTATGTCTCACGTTACTGGTTGCTTGCTGACTTTTGTTTGAGGATGATTTTCATTCGAATGATGACCTCTACCTCATTGAATTTGCATTCAGACCTGCTCAAGGCTGCACTGAGGTTTGTACATCCGGTGTCCCTCTTCGACTGGGGCTAACATTGCCTTTTACTTTTTGTTTTCAGTGCACCTTTCGGGTTCTTCCAGACTACAGATACGGGCTCAACGACAAATAGGTACTTGCTCAGTACACCAATGCAACCCCCCCCTGTGGCCACTACTGACGTTTCTTGCCAATTTGAAAGATTCGGCCAGGATATGGAACTGATCGATATGATGCTCCCAGTGTACGCGGTGAACTTTGTTGAAAGTATGTACCTGTCCTTGCAGCTAGCTTTGGACCGTGGAGTCTGACATCAGACAAGGCGTGTTGTCTTGCTTCTTTAGGCTGATTGTACTCTGCGTCATTGGACGATATCTGGCCAGCTCCATCCCATTGCTCGCCCTGATACTATTCTGTGTCCAGGTCTACTACCTACGGACCTCTCGTCAGATTCGCCTCCTAGACATCGAAGCGAAGGCACCACTGTACTCGCACTTCCTGGAGACCATCCAGGGAATAACGACAATTCGTGCGTTTGGCTGGGAGACTCACTTTCAAAAGGAAACAGAGACTCGAGTGAACAATTCTCAGAAACCAGTATATATGCTGTTCTGTGTACAGCAGTGGCTGACCCTTGTCCTGGATTTGGTAGTAGGAGGGATTGCGGTGGTGCTGGCTGCCGTGGTAACCTCGTTGAAGGGCAGCTTCAGTGCCGCGTCGATCGGTGTCGCATTGAACATGCTCCTCACCTTCAATCAAACCATCACTCGGACCATCAAGATGTGGACCATGATGGAAATTTCGATCGGGGCTGTATCTCGTGTACGGAACTTTGTGCAAGACACGCCATCGACCAACCGTGACTTTAATCCTGAGAGCGGTAGAATGCCTGCCATAGCATGTAAGGGTGCAATCGACTTTGAGAGTGTATCAGCTGGCCACAGGTTTGTCACTCAATTTCGAACTTTATACGATGAGCCCAGCTAACGTGTTCCAAAGCTTTGACGAAACTCCCATCTTGAAGGACATAACGTTTTCCATAAAGCCCGGGCAAAAGATCGCAGTTTGTGGACCTTCTGGCAGTGGAAAGACATCGTTGATCATGGCCCTTCTTGGTATGATTGAAATAAAGGAAGGTCGGGTACTGGTAGATGGCAGCGATCTGTCTAGCGAGCAACAAGCCCTGCGAGGGAACATTAGTGTCATCCCCCAGGAGCCTCTGTTCCTACCTGGGACCGCGAGGTTCAACCTCGACCCACACCAGCGTACTGATGATGAGAAAATCACAGACGCCGTGAAAGCAGTCGGTTTATGGAGTCGCTTTTGCGCAAAAGGAGGCTTGGATGCGGAATTTGTCCCTTCTGACTGGTCAGTTGGCCAGAAGCAGCTGCTAGCGCTTGCCCGAACCTTGGTGCACAAGGCACCTATCTTGCTTTTAGATGAAGCGACTAGCAGGTGAGTAGACCCTTCTTCTAACGCTATACGGATGGTTCTAACTTCTGACGATAGCGTCGATTGGGAAACGGAGACGACCATGCAGGACATCATAGACAAGGAATTCGCTTCCCAAACTATTATTGCGGTCTGTCATCGCTTCCGCTTCATCGATCGGTTTGACCGTGTGGCGGTGATACAGCAAGGTGAACTTGTTGAATATGATAACCCAACGACTCTGTTGCAACGGGATACGCAGTTTAGGAGGCTCTTTCGAGCCCTGCAAGAATCGTCGGCTAGCGTGGCATGACAGCCAGAGAACATTTGTTACGTTGCTGATATACACAACATAGAGGCAGACTCGTGACCATGCTGTTTCACCTCCGTTGAAGTGGTTGTCACTTATCCTGTTTGCTTATGACCTGGCTATACAAGCTTTTAATGAGCAATTGGCGTGTGCGTTCTAGACCTATGCGCCGAATTTCTACTTTACTCATTGCATAGAGACAGAGTGAATGATAGCAACCCTCAGTTAGCCGGGGTGATGTGACTTTCAATTTCTACCGTGCCTAGTATTCTCAAACGTATTGATTCCAACTTAGCTAAGCTCTTTGCGTTTAAGTGTTTCAAAATCAGAGTGGCCAGGTCTATTTATGAGAGCGCCTGCGCCGAACAGGCGAACTAAGCAATCTCAATAGTCCCATTCAAGTGCAGGATCCTGCTGCTAGCTCCCACAGAGGCTGTGTATTTTGCGGGCTGAAGCCTCCATTGCTGGGCTACAACGTCCCAAATACTGAGATCCCTCCTGGTCAATGGGAAGGAAATTTGCTTCGTCTCACCCGGTTCCAGTGGTACTCTTTCGAAGCCGCGCAGCTGTCGCACGGGGGCGTCTGGAATACCAACGTAGAGCTGGGCGACCTCTGACGCGGACACATCACCCGTGTTGGTGATGGAGCAGGTGACTTCGAACAATACATCCCACAGCTGTGGATGTCCGCCCTGGACGATAGGAGTGTTGGCGTCCACTAGAGGGGAAGTACTATTTCCTGTAGACGCAATCTCAAGGTCAGAGTACTCGAAGGTGGTGTATGACAAGCCAAAGCCGAATTCGAACTGCGGTTCGATGCCGTCACGATCGAACGCACGGTAGTCGATGTACAAGCCCTCGGTGAAGTTGACTTCGGGGAATGCATCGAACGAGACAGTCGAGTTTAGCAGGTTTCCGTAGTCGGATTCGTTCTTGGCGACGGTGAAGGGAAGTCTTCCGGACGGGCTAACGTCGCCGTACAGGATATCAACAAGGGAATGACCACTTTCTTGGCCGGGAAGACCAGCAAAGAGAACTGCGGTCACATTGGGGTGATTGATCCATGCATTGACTGTGCGGATGCCTGTTTTATTCGACGATCGTTAGTGGGTTATCTTGCCCTGAGTGGAGGTTGGCTACTTACCGGTTGAATGAATGACAACGATGGTGTTGGTACAATTGGCAGCAACATTGCGCACCAGATTGTCACTGAACTCGTCTGTCAGGCTGGTTCGGTCGAAGGCCTCAGACGCATACGCGTTGATGAACACGAGACAAGCGTCACTATTCACGTATGCAGGGGAGGGGTTCTCTGAGTAGAAATCCCAGCGAAGGGTTCCTTTGTTGCTCGAGATTCGCTCCTGCAGTGCCTGGAAGGGACTCACCACGTAGGGAGGAGTGCTTCCTCCGGAGCCTCCACCGGTGATGAGCGTGCCGTTGAAGGTGCTCCAACCGAAGTTCACTTCGTAACCGCCGCCATAGCGTGAGGGATTCGCCCATGGGGCTGCACTAACCGTTGCGTCGTAGCCGTAAACACTAAGGAACCTGGTTGCATTCGTGAATGGCAGTGCGTTGTTGACATTTTTAACCAAAACAGTGCCAGCGGAACCAATTTCTCTGATCAATGTCGCATGGTCCTCTTGAACATCAATAGGGTCGTGCTTCTCCGACTCCGAATAAACTCCGGGGGAAGGAAAGCCCTCGTCCTGGCCAGTGAAAAACCAGGTTGCCAGGACTCGCGTCGCCATGTCGTCCAACCTCTCGCTACTGATACTGCCATTTGCAACAGCATCAGTCAGATTGCGGCCCCAGAAGCCACCGTTTGGCATAACAACATCCAGGCCAGCATTGGCCGAAGCAACGCCAGAATGCTGCGCTGCCCAGTCGCTCACCACGAATCCTTCAAATCCAAGTTCGGTTTTCAGGATACCGTTGAGCAGCTTCGAGTTCTGACACCCGTAGCTGTGGTTTAAACGCTGATAAGAACACATAACACTTCCGACACCTTCCCTCAAAGAATCCATGAAAGGGAAAACATATAACTCGTGAATAGTGCGGTCATCGGCATTTGAGCTCAGTGATTCGCCCATGTCCCCCGGGTTTCTTCTCCATTCCTCTTCGTTCAACAGCCAATGCTTCGCCGAGGCAATCACTCCAGCGTCCTGGATACCTTTAGTGATATGTCCCATCCCGCCGCCTGCAAGATAAGGATCCGCCCCGAGTCCCTCCCAATTGCGTCCACCTCTGGCTAGTCTTCCCAGCGGTCCCGCGACGGGACCTAAGGCGACATTGATGCCCTTCCCCTGATACTCCTGGCCCAGTGCATGGCCATAGCGGTACATGAGAGAGCGATCCCATGTTGCCGCCACGTGAATGCCTGCCGGAAAGGCAGAGACAAATTCCTGCCCTCGAATGCCGTCCGGTGCGTCGGAGAAGCAAAGCGAAGGAATGGAAAGCCGAGGGATCGCACCAGTATTTCCAACACACTGACCGTCAAACCCACGGGTGAGGTTCGATTTCTCCTCAACGGTTAGTTGCGAGACAAGGGCTTTCGCGCGCTGATAGGCGCTCTCCCAGACCGAGCTTGTCGCCCCATCTCCGACCGCTGGTTGTCTTTGTCAGTTCAACTACTCCAGTTCTAGGTTTGGCTGGGCAATAGATTGCTTGGAGTCTACTTAAACTTACGAGAGGGGTATACGGCAGGACTTAGGCCATAGTAAGGAACCTCTGATTCATTGGTATAGCCTTGGGCTGCACAGAGCGTGCCCTGCGCGAGCGCTATCGAAGCTAAGGGTGATAGGACCTTCATGAGGATGAAGCACTTGTACTATTCTGTGTCTTCATCACTTCTAATGTACGGGTAGGTACGTCTATTTAAGCCCTTCCATTGTCAAGCGTTGAGATTATGAGGAACAAAGCGTCGTTCAGGTCATATCGGAGGACACCCGACACGGCACGAAGTAAAATGCATCGTGCTCATTAGAACGGGTATACTTCGGGGATTTACAACAAGTCCTTGCGTGAGAATGGATCCCAACACCGTCATCATGGCATGAACTGGCGAAGAACACTGGACACCCCGCAATTGGCGACGATGCACGTTGCTTGGCGCCAAGCATGTCGTCTATACTAAACATTATTTGGGTTACCGTGAAGTCGGGGAACGTCCCGAGATCGGCATTGATGCCTGTACCTCGAGTCGAGGAGAGGGAGTGCCCTGAGAACAGTCCACAGTAGCGGGCGAATCTGAGGAAAAGGTACCATCTCTGTCACCCGGCAGTTGGAGCATCGGCATTGACTCGATGCTGTTGCCGGACGCTATACCATGCGCCCAACGCAGGCAGTGGGGCCACAGCAGAGGACAGCCAGGGTTAACCTAACTGCTAGCCGACCGTAAAGCCGAAGTATCCGGAGTAGCTCGAGCAAAGTCTGATGGGTGCGCTAATGGACCACTAGCATCGAATATTGGCGAACCAATGACATGATTGCTCGGGTGTTGTGTGTCGAATAAGCAAAGACACCCAGTTGTCAAGCATTTGCGCTGCGGGGAATTGACTCGTGAGGCCGTGGAGCTCAGTTAACTGACAAGCATGAAATGGTGTCTATCAGTGATAGTCGTTGCGTTATCCAGAGGAACGTCGAATGCCTTCCAGCGCCGCCATCCACAACATGGTCCCCATTGTGACTGGAGGTGGGCCCTTCATAAGCCCCCGTCGAAGCACATATGTCTTCCGGAGAAGAAAGATCTAAGACCAGATTATGCAGGAGTGAAAACACATCTTCGTGCCTTCTTTTCTAGCCTTTAATGGTGGAAAACGTTAAGCCCTAGAGTTTCCACATTCCTGGTCCGAACCACATGGCATCTTTCAACCTGGATGCTGCGTGTGGTGATGAAAGTGATGAAAGTGATGCTTTCGCTCAGGAAAGGTTCTATCATGGTGGAACCAGCCCAATGTGAACCATTCTTTCCACCACTTCACAAATGTCTGTCGTGCTTCGCGAACCTCAGCGTCCATGTCGGGTTGAGTTTGTGGTTTGGATGGAGTCGGGTTTTCTATGAGATATGGCCTTCTCAAATGGTAGAAAGTCCGGCGACAGAGAGGACAACTCGCATCATGATCACACAGCCATTCATCTATACACGGCTGATGAAAGCTATGCTGACAGGGTAAATGACGCAATATAGACCCGGGTTCCAGCGTAGCAAAGCAAAGACTACATGTCGATTCCTCTGAGTCTGTGAAAGAATATGTTTAGATGATATGTCATAATACGGAATAGGTATTAGTGAAGCGTACCAGGGTCGAATCCGTCTTGTGGAATGCTAGTGCGAGGCAATCCGGCCAACCAAAGATCCGCGGTACGCAAAGGCCCACGATCTGTTTTGGACGGGACACATAGGTAATACTCTGGCATGTTTTACTGTCTAAGATCTTCGCAGCATAACAGGTAGGAGTGTCATCAAAGCTGAATTGAGTCGTGCTTTCTGGGTGAAGAAATTCGGGTGGCTCATAAGTCTGTCCGAAGTAGTATATATCACAACCAAAATGGCACGACGGTCTGTCCTGTAGGCATGCTGGACTATATCATACGGTACAAGTAGCAGTCTATCAGCACATCATTGCAGAATTTTATTAATCCAGAGGTTCTAGAGCTGTGAAAATTATTCAAACCATTTCGGTCTTTTTTCGGGAATCCGATTTATGTCCTGAGGAATCGACGCCATTCCCTTCTGGGTAGGACCATGCAGCCAATCAACGTTCGCAACTCAATAAAAAAGGTCGAAACTCGGCGAGTCGAGAAGCCCTACTGCTGCGTAGTGTTACTACTTGTATCACCCCTGCATCTTATTTCTTTGGTCCTATTGTTGCTATATAATCCACTTGAGCCGTGTCTGCCCCTGTCAATACATCCATGGACCGCAAGAATAGTTCCCTTTGTGGACAACTCAGTACTCGCTGAGACTTTGACATTGTTAGTCTGGTACTGAGACTCTGAGAGAGCCGGGCATTCACTCTCAGCACATTGAACGTTTTTTGGACAATGGGTGACATAGTATTACAGGCGTATGTCGTATATGAGTCTCTGTTGGCAATCGTTAGGGGTAGCTTGTTGATCCAAATCACACCTTACCACGAAACCGGGAAAGTAAACAACGCGACTTGTGGACGACGCTCATCACAGGCTATAGCAGAGAAATTGCTCCTTACACCCGGGAAAATTTCTCAGAAGCTTATTGTCAGCCTATTCCTTTGGCAGACGTTTCATTACGTGTAATGTGGCTTGCATAGTAGGAGTGCCATGCCCCAACACCTTTATGATACTCCACCTATCTCCGAATATAGCTTATGGTGAAGTGGTGGTATTGCACACCAAACTATAGAAACCTTACTAGGGTACGGATCTATTTAAGCTGCCAAATTACTCTTGTAATGTCCATCCTAGTAAACCTAAACTCACCTAGTGTGGCGATTTGATTAGCTGGATCAGCAACATGGTAAAGCTCTATTGAGCCAGTAGCGAAGTGGAGAAAATCCTGGTGGCCAAATGTGTAGTGCATGATCTCTGAATAACAATTATAGTTGTGCCCCAAATCTACTCCCCCTGGTAGAGTTTCAATATTGAGTTTAAGTCGGTGACGAGGAGGGTCTCTCGGTTGTAAGGAATGCTGCCGATCAGTATGGGGTTGCAGCCCTGGAGTTCGGGGTATAAAATGGCTTCCCCAGAAACAAGGAGCTCTCTTTTTACAAATTCACGACTAGTTTTGGAGTTCTTTGTCTGAGCTCTCTCTACCTATTGACACTCAACCGCTGCCCACCCTCTTGACCAATATGTCCGACACACGCGAGGCAAATCCCACCGCGATGGATACCGCTGAATCTGGCTCGTCACAATTCCATCTCCAAAAAGAGAGACAATCTGCCTATCACGATGAACATGGCGCCGTGGCATCTCTCCCCCAACGGGAAGCCCACATCCATACTGTTTCACAGGTGCCCCTGCCTCCATACCAGAAACTCGCCAATCCTGGCCCCTTGGGGCTTTTAGCTTTCGCATTGACGACGTTCGTCCTTGGCCTCTATGAGTGCGGCGCAGGGTAAGTGTATATGTCTGGGCCATACATGCAACCACTGACACTGATACTTGCACTCAGGCTGCCTCATTCAAACCCTCAAGCCGGGGTTGGGCCTAACCAGGCTGCCTTCGGACTAGCCATTTTCTTTGGTGGCGGTGCCCAGTTTGTCGCCGGCATCTTCGAGTTCCGCGTTGGAAACACCTTTGGTTGCACCGTCCATTGTTCCTACTCTGCCTTCTGGCTCAGCTACGCAATGTTTCTCATCCCATCTCTGGATATAAAAGGGCAGTATAACGGGGACGAACGGGCATACACTTTTGCGCTCGGCATCTACTTGATATTGTGGTGCTTCCTGACCGTACTCTTCCTTCTTGCGGCCTTGAGAACGAACCTGTCTATCATTCTTGTTTTCTTCTTCCTGATCATCGCATATCTGCTGTTGAGCATTGCCAACTTCATTGCAACCTCCCACCCTGAGCAAAGCGTGAAGGTAAACAAAGCCGGTGGTGCCTTCACCGTCATTTGCGCATTTGTTGCCTTCTATGCTGGTTCATCTGGCCTGATGGTGCCAGAGACGACGTGGGTTCGGTTCCCTCTCGGCGAGATCCCATAAGGTGCATTTGCGACTCCAACTATTCATTGGGGTGCCGAGTATGTATAGGTGACTCAATTGGCTATGCATTGAAAAAGAGACTATGTGTGGAAAGATCATCAGGTCGAGATTTTGCAAGTTTCACTTCGCTAGACGGGAAAGCTTCACATACAACGTTGTTCACTGTTCCTGCCTACGCTACTATCAATTCAATCAAATGTAAAGGGCTACGAAGAGGAAGACCGAGCTTTTGAGAAAAGATAGAATGTGCAATATGTTTTTAATATGCTATGTAGCCTTTGTTTATTTATCTCCTTTTACTTCACTTGCTTCACAACCTGTAATTATTCACATAATAACGACAGAATCTCGAGATATGATATCGCCTACGTAGCGACGATAGCTTCCATATCATCCCAAACTGGTAAATCTCGGTCATGCCCTCCGTCTAAATCATCTCTTCGTTCTCTATGGTGCCCAGTCCATGGGGAATGGTGTGAGCACTGCGACATCCAATGTGCTCACCTCTTTCCATATATGCATGGCCAAGATGTCATACATGCAAAGTTTGGGATAAAGTGACCCCTAGAGTTGTTATCAGCCAAGAATGGTCTTCTGCTATATATGACGGCATTGAACGTGCTTTCGATGCGGGAAATCTGGTCATCGTCCCAGACCTTGCTGATAGACCAGCCATAGAAGAGCTTCTCTCCTGGATACAGAGAGAAGCCAGAGAATACAAAATCAAAGTGATTGATGTATCGTGCGACATGCTTTATAGAGAGTTTTGGCCTATCATGCAATATCATGAAGAGATCTGGATGGCCAACGCCTTCAATTCAGGACAAGTTTCCGGCCCGTGCTGAGATACCTTTACTACCATTACTTCATCCAGGTCTTGCGGCGAGCATGGGGATATAACACAGGGTGGAGCTCTACCTACTGCCAAGAACGAGATCGGCAAGCTCTTCTGGCGCACATCAGGGAGGTATCTTCCGAAGAATATGCTTCTAGCCATTGTCGAGGAAGTGGGGCACGATTATACGGAGCTCTTGAAGGGGGCTGCTTCGAAAAAAAGAGATAATGATCTCCTCTTGACCATTGCATCTTGTCAAGTAAAACGCCGACCAGCACTTAGGTCTAGTACATTCGCCGGCGAAGAAAAAGATAGCGAGGAAGATGAGGAAGATGAAAGCGATGATGAGTGATCCATCTCACTTTGACCAAGTTGCATGTCAATTGCCAAAGCGAATTGTTTATGTACTTAATGTTCCTAGTTAGGTGTGGTGGGACTAGTGTGCCTTGCGCCAATTATGACTTCTTGCTCTGCAGCACTTCTCACGTTCTAAACCATTGATAGATTGTAGGCTCACATAGACACACGCGTCATCGCACTATCGTGTAGTTCGCTTGTCATGTGTGAAACGCAAGTGATGGTAGTGAGGAAGGGGTCTGTTAGAGCACATGTGTTCGAGTGGTCTCACTCATTACGATGCTGTGCCACCGGCGAGTGAGCTGGATGTCTTGTATTCTGGCGGTGAGTTGCCCTCTATCAGGTTGTGACTGCCGTGTATGATTGGCTCCAGACTCGTATATCGAAATAGCCACAATCCAGCCATTCGCCACTGTGCAGATGGGAACATATTCCCCTTCGTATTTGTCTTAAAATAGGCTCAGGTGTCTGAGAATTGGTGGGAGGCATATGACAGGTAGTTGCCACCAGAGTATAACTGCAATTGCCTGGTGCGCCTTTATCAAGCACCTCGTGGTTCGCAACCTCAGGCCCATCTTCACACCGCATCAGCAAAGTTACACTGCTCCTAGAAATCACGTAGCATCCCCTGCTGCATATATATGTCTCTATAAATAAATTGCCCTTGTGCGTTTATAAGTTTCTCTTCCAACTCCTTTTCACTTTTCAAACCATACCGTCGATCAAGACATCCCGCAAAAGAAATGCATCTCATAACTCCTCCCCGACTCTGCGCAGCTCTCACTGTGTTCATGAGTCTAATCATTTTATCCTTTGCAATTGATACCCCTGCAACGAAAGATTCCACCATTTTCCGGTCGACCGTGAACTGCCCTGCTTGTCCCGATGGTAACTGCTACAAATGCACCCTGGGTCATGATGCCACGCTCCAGACCAACACCGGTGGACTGGCCTATATCCGCTCTCTGATCGCATTCCAACTTCCAGTCCCGGCTGCCTCCGTCACAGCATGCACCGTCCAATTCCCCGCCTTCACAAAGCCCCTTGAGGCACCGGTTAATGTCACGGTAGCCCAGGCGCTCTCTTCCGACTGGAACGAGGATACCGTTACCGGAGAGAACGCCCCAGATTCTGGTGACGTCTTTACAGAGATTGAAGTCCCTGCTTATGCGAACATGGGACCCATCGACGTTACACCTGCTTGTAAAGGGGCCGACGAAGATGGACACTTTTCTATATTCGTAGGGACAAAATTTGGCAGAATTGAGGTCTGGTCGAAGGATTCGGGAAATCCGGCGATTCTCCATATTACGTCCTCTTCCTGAGTGTTCGTGTGTGATCTACATAGGTAATCACCCTGGTTTCCACAAGTTTGTGTTGGAGGAGTGAGTCTGGTAACTAGTCATTGTCTGAGATATGTGGCACTGTGGATGTTTCAAGCCTTGACGGGGGACATAATGACGCCAGTGTTTTGCTATTCACTCTTTCTATACTTATGTTGTATTATCTCTCCAACTCATTCATTATGTTGCTTATCTTGTTGTCGGAGCTCATGCGACAAGGGGCATTTATTGCTTTCGCGAAGGAGTTTGGCAAGCATAAAAATTGCAGGTGATTGCAGAAGAACTTTGAATATCCATGTCAGGACTTTTAGTTTTGCCCATAACGGACAGTACAACGTAGTCTCTTTGGCTGTCTTTTCTGGACCTGAAACAGTCCATACTGAAATCAAATGACAACATTGGGCACAAACGCAGACTTGCTACATGATAGTAGACATGTCGGCGATCAAACATTGGTACAAGCAAGATTCCCACCACTCTGATTCAAGTCAGCAGCAGGCACATACAATGTTCATAAAAGAATAACCTTACGAGAGGGAGATTGCTGATGCAACAACTCCGTGTCTTTCCTGTCCCACAGGGTCCGGTTTGTTGGGCTACAGAAGTCAGTTCCACCCCATTGGAGAGACATGTACCAGTAACTTACCTACGCAGTTATACCCAAGCGCACGGATCAAAAGGATATTGACACGGGAAAAGTGCTCGCAGCGAAATCAGTTCTGACCATAAGGGCAATCTCTCTTTTCTAAATCCTCTGCTAGACTGGTGGCTGCCATGCGGGCAACGGCGCAGAGAGCTAGGATAGTCTTGAGGTTCATGGTTGTTTTTCTCTAGCTTCGAAATCCTTTACTGTGTGTATGTGAACAGACTACGATGCAGAATAGAGAGTGTAAGGCTGGAATCCTCATTCTCTTTATAGACCGACAGACAGGCAAGAAGTCTTAACTTCAGTGGGCATATAGCGTTATAAAGCGCCTGGGTGTGTCCAGAACATGGAAACGAGAAGGCTTGATACTTATTCTACCGGACCCAAACACCACACGGACCTTGGAACAGACATCCAAAAGTAGAAAACAGGCCAGACCATTGTCCTTCGGTCAGCCTCAATGGCCAATCTAGGTTCGTACGACTTTCCAAGGTATATCTTGGACGTCGCGAAAAGTGTTGCCGCCAGTAAAATAAGCTCTCTGAGCTCTTGGTGAACTAGAACCCTGAGAACTGCCAACTTACGATGTATAGTCTAGACAGAAATGGAAAAAGGAAGCGTGTTATCGACCGGGTCTCTCGAGGGTTGTCATTTCATCAAGCATTCACGGATCCTGGAGCTTCCGGGTCCCGAACAACTGCCGAGATCCACTCCAACCGGGCCGACAGCTTTTTATATACGAACGCAACCTGTATAGCTTCGTGACTGCTACGGAGGAGCCTGACAGACTTTTGCGCCATGTTCAGAGATAATCGCGAGTTAAATACAATTCCATTGACCATCGAAATCACCCAGCTATACCAGGATGCCTGGAACATAATGGCAGGCCACCGCCTTCCTTAGATCTATCCAACTTTGGATCCGATGAACCTCCACAATCCGTGACGTCAAACCAACCGCAGAGGGTCCACCTTGATTAATAATATACTATATTCACGAGTCATTAGCGAAGATACCAAGTCAGCTTCGGTAGTCATGAGAGCCCCTATATCCGTTGAGATAAATACTTCTGGTAATCTGGCAGAACGTGTCTGGAGTGGGCAACGAAGCAAACCTGTGCATTCAAACGCTCGCTGCTTTTGGCACCCAACAGGATGAAAGAGATTGTCAACCTGCAGGACTGCAGGACCAAGCTGATTGAATCGGTGGTCCCCGAGATTAATGACGACCAGGTTCTGATTCGTGTTGTCGTTTCCGGATCGAACCCCAAGGATTGGAAGGTGCCCGATCTTGCGCACAGCGAGGAGCCACCGTACTTTGAGCGCTACGAGAAAGTCCGAGAGGGAGTAAATCAAGGGGATGACATAGCTGGCTTTGTCGAAAAGGTCGGGGAAAACGTAGTCGAATTTCGGGTGAGTTCTGTCGCTTTACTCCCAAGTCCGGTGATGGTCCGAAATTAAGAGATATCTTGTTGCCTCCTCTAGCCCGGTGATCGAGTCGGAGCTTTTCACGAAATGCTTGCGCCTGGAGGCAGTTACGCCGAATATGCGGTTGCATGGAGCCACACCACGTTCCATTTACCAGAGAAGATTTCATTTGAAGGTATATCAAAAGCCCACTGTACTCTCCTTCACTTTTGCCGTTATTCTATAGGGCTAATCCCCAGTAGAGGCAGCAACCATCCCCTTAGCCGGCCTCACAGCAGTTGTCTCTCTCTACCACCACCTCGGATTTCAATTCCCCTGGTCCCCAGCAGCCAAAGGCAAATCCCCCAGCGCCACGACGCCGTTCATTGTCTACGGCACAAGCACGGCAGTTGGGTCCTACGCGATCAAGTTCGCCCGACTAAGCAACATCCACCCGATTATTGCGATCGCCGGAAAGGGCGCCCATTACATCCGGAGGTTCCTGGACGAGAGTAAGGGCGACGTAGTTGTGGATTATCGGGAGGGCCCCGAGAAAACCGTCGCTGGCATTCGCAATGCTCTGCGCTCATCTCCTGATGCCAATGATTTTCCAGTAAATCATGCCCTGGACACAATTGTCACCGAGGACAGTACGACCGTGCTGCGTTCCGTTCTGAACCCGGGAGGTAACATTAATTATGTACTCATGAGTCCCCCCGATGTTTCTCCCGCGGTTGCGTCGAACACTTGGGTCAGTTCGGCCCACCAGATCGGTGGTATTGACGATTGCCGTGATCTGTGCTTCGTATTCTGTCGGTGGTTCACGCGGGCACTGCAGACTGGTGAGCTGGAGAGTCATCCATTTGAAGTCAGAGGAGGCGGCTTGTTGGGAGTTGAGGGAGCGATGAAGGACTTGAAGGATGGAAAAGCGAGTGCAGTTAAATATGTTTTTAGAATCGGTGAGACACCGGGACTAGAAAACTTGGGATAGATATTATACTCTTGCTCGATACTTAACACAGACCTTCTGATGAAGAACAGGGAACAAAATTAAGGCAAAGGTTCATAGGGAAAACGAATATCAAACAAGTGGTCGATACTGTAGGTGTCAGGGCCTTGATTCTGTAGCAGTATTCGCAAGGTGAGGCATAATATCTCTCCCTCGAAATCGTCAACCTTCCCGGCTTCATCAACAGGCTTGTGTTCTTCGTACAACTTCACAATCTCGTCCTTGCTTACCCATTTCCAACTTTCGTATGCGCCGCTTTCAGGAGTCTGCCATCACGCTGTCAGCATTATCCAATAACGGGAATTTATTTTTCCTTGAAGGAATAGGGCCAAATGAAAAGCCATCTGTTTGGTGTATGTCGCACTATGGGCTCCTTCTGACCATTTGCATCACGAAGTTGGACCCCTGACCAGGTAGGAAAATAGTCCTTGCTCTGCGTGAGCTCGCTCGAAAGTTCAAATATCTTTACAAAGGCACCCCAGTCGATGTCCAGGCCGGTCTCCTTCAAAACTATGCTTTGTGCATTAGACGGCTTGGCCCCGAAGGGGCCGCAAGGGCCTAGGGGAGGGGACAAGGTGCCTGACCGATATCAGTATGTCTGTCGTTAAGGGAATAGAAAATACTGCGTAACGCATAGGGACGGACACAAAAAGGCCAAAGGCATATGTACCTTCTTCTGGGCCGACCTTTCTTCGCCTAAGTAGAATCTGTTTCTCCTCGTTGACGATGAGGACAAAGACAACTGGCTTGGCGTCTGGGAAGTCCATCGTTGCTTGTTCAATTACTTGAAGTAGGCAGTAATTAGCAGGTGTACTGGGTAGCCGAGTTGTGGATTTGAATGGGGATGAGGGCGTCTTATATGTTGCCGAATGTCTGCGAAGCATATCAGTTGAAACATCTTCCATTAAGCCAGTCGATAACTCTGAGACGAAATGCTCGGATCATGAAAGAGCTCAAACTGACTCTAGACACAGCTTCTTTGTAGCGAGCCCTGAGCGCCTTGCCATGTTGCAAGGAATAGTTTCACTGAAATGGACGTCACAATGGTTGCTGCTATACGGTGTTGACGGCCTTTTAAGACATCATTGCTCTGCGGGATGCTGTGCTACCTAATTATAATAACATATGAATTCCAGTAAGGATACAGAGAGGTGTTTCCTCCAAGCCTCCACTCCATGGTGACACTGGTTGTTCCAGAGGTTGCTGTCTACCACAGGGTTTATGCACAGCCAAGCTTCCTGACCTCTTTACTTGCACTTGGACTGTCGATGGTGTTAAGGAATGACGTGTAACATTACTATGAAGGATCTCAATGCGGGATGTTGACCAAAGAATGGAAACTATCCTGGAAAGGGGAGATGAAAGGATCTGCTTGGGTTTCACAAATCGATGTCACATACTTAGAAATTGGGGTCTAAAATGCTTGAGCGGTCTCGGATTTGATTTCCTGCGACGCATGTGTACTTCAAAACAATGGAGTCCAGCAATTTGGGGTATGAACTATCACTATTTCAGCCAATTTCCTGTGAACTAGTTAGAGATCACACGAAACTGACGAAGCCCTGACTTAATGGCACGATGCAAAATTGGCATTCTTTGGTAAATTTGCGGACATATGATCGCTCAATATTGTTTCATAGGAAATAAAGAACCTTTAGATGGGCACTTGCACTGGAAGAACGGAGCACACCCTTGCGGGCTTCAGGTTTCTACCACTACCCCTTCACACTTCGTGCCTACTGCCCCTAAAGTAGAAGTGATGATGCCGTATTCTAAATTGTGATTGACGGACCAAACATTACTATACTGGACTATGAGTAGACAGATCAGTTGGATCAAACATGTATAAACCTGAACAGCGCAGGAGGTTAGATCCCGCGCTAAACTGTGTACATATATGGTACATTAATGCACCATATTCACTCACAGAAAAAGGATGACTATATACAGAAGCTATCCGACATCTCTAGCTAAAGGCCGAGAAGCAGGAACTCTTTGCATCGGATTCCTCCCATCCGATACATTTCCAGCAGTTCAACAATCGGTTGGGATCGTACTTGTTCTTGATATTCAACAAGGGCTCGTAGTTCTCGCCCCACCAGGCTTCCTGCCAGTCTTCGGTGAATGGGTTGGCCTCACAGCTGTAGGCACCGCTGCCTGGGGTAATCTCCTCAAGGGTCGCAGTCATGTTCTGCAGACCAGCAATTTTCTGCTCGCGCGTCTCCAGGGTGCTATTCCAGGCCCAGGCAGTACCGGAGCCCAGTTCCCAAACGGCAGAGCGCCAGGCGGGAGTCGCGGAGGTGGAGTTCGCCTTATAGTTGTACAGCACCGGGCCGACGATGGGGATGTAGGGGCTCTGTCCCTTGGATTGGATGAGAGAGAAGAAGTCCATAAGGTTCTTGCGGCCCTCGGCAGTTTCGAAGACAGCCTTGGGCACCAGGCGACTGCCGGCAAAATGGGTCACTCCCACGCTAACCGCGTTGGAAGTGACATACTTTTCGTAGAAGGCGTACCAGGACGAGAACTGTTCAACGGCGGCAGAACCACCCTGTGATTTCGCGTAGGCGATCACATCGGCGAGGGACTCCTCCGCCTGGGCCACAGAGAGCAAAGGCGTCACGTTGATGAGGCTGCTGCCACTGATATGACCCCCCCAACCTTCAGAAGCCCACTTCAGCGTGTTGTTGACAACGATGTCCATGAAGGGTAACAGATTGCTAGAGTTCGAGGTGAATTTGATAATGGCAGCAACGAAGCCCAATTGAGGCTCAACTCGGTGGGTGCTCTCGATTACAACACCAAAGGTACCACCACCGCCGCCACGGAGAGCCCAGAAAAGATCCTGGTTTTGGCATTCGTTGGCGACGCGGTACTCGCCATCCGGTGTCACCACCTTGAATTGGATTACTCGGTCGATGGCCAACCCATAGACAGGAGACAGAATACTATGACCAGCAGTTTGCAGGAAACCGCCACTGGCGCCCACCGTTGGCGCATAACCACCCAGGAATGTGACGTTGTGCGAATTGGCAAATTCATAGACCTCGTTGAAGTTGACACCGGCGCCGATACTGATGGCTTGCACGGCGGTTCCTGGTGCGGAGCACGCATCACAGCCCTCGAGCTTGAAGTTAGAGTGGTAAGTCTTTGACTGCAAATTGCGTGTCCAGAGTGCGAGAGTTCCCTTCCCACTGCTACGGCCCAGGTAATCATGGCCACTGTTCTTGATCGATAGACGGGTTCCAGAGCAGCTGGCGAACTTGAAAGCCTCCACGGCATCGCTAGCCTGCTGCACCTCGAGATAATACGAGGGCAAGTTGCCTTGCTGGCAAACCGTGTTGGTAAAGGCCAGCGGATCGGTCGGATCAGAGCTGTCGAGCAAGCACTGGTCACTAGGGTCCGAGGCACACATCTCCACCTGATTATTCATGTATCCATTGGCGGAATTCGCTCGCAGGTACGGATCGCTGTACCTGCTCTGGATAGTCGCACAGGCTGCATTGTTAACCGCCACTTCGGTGCCATTGTAGTTCGAGAAACAGGGCAAGGAGAAGGGTGTCAGGGGCTGCACACGGCCACCGACGGTGGCATTGAAGCTGTCGAGATCACAGGTTCCGGCTGAAACGCCCAAGAGGTGGACGGCCAGTGGCACAAGAGAGTTCTTGAACGTCGAAGGCGCCATCTTGCCACGGGATGATGAGATCATGCACCGGGGAAAACACCAGTGGATAAGTTAAACCAGCAGTGAAGATCGCATCCGTTCTAGGAAAGTAATCAGCAAGGCAGGAACCGTGTTCGCTTTTTATTCAAAATTCGGCACTGCGGCGACTCCTTGCAGACGTCCCGGGTTGTTGGGAAACTAGTTTCAGGACAGCGATCGGAAATATCTTGTTTCCGATCACATTTTGCAACTTCGCCCAGACCTCTCTCTCCATTCCTTGTTGGGTAGTCCAATCCGACTGTCTTTCTCGTACGATGGTGGGTAGGAACCGCATGGAGCACGGAGAACGTCCGTCCAGCCAACCATGGCACATAAGCCAAGGGAATCAGGGATACATACTAAGCTTTTAGTGGCAGAGGTCAAGCTTAAGGAGCATTAAATTCCTTAGGGCTTCGGTCTCTCTTCGGGAATATGGCTGACGAGAATCCAATCACAGCGAAAAGTGCTGGCCCACCCAGTGGAGCCATCCCCTAACCAGAGGCTGCAGGGTGGTCAAGCTTAATAGGAATAAGAACCGGCGAAAGATGGTAGAGGAAAAGAGAGGCCTAAGAACGAAGGAAAATCCTAAAATTGTGGATCCACACTACACCTAAGAATTCCTTCGGGCCTCTCGCCGCGTGGCTCAATATAAAACATATTAGCGATTCCCACTGGCAATGGGTTTTGGTGTCTCACCTGCACCAACTATTGAACCTTATCAGTTAATATCTGAAACAATGCACAAATACCTATGCCGTGTGCCGTGCGGCATGCATTGGTAGAATGCCCGTAGAACCTGCGATCGAATTAGGGCTTCCTTGGGGCACAGTGATCAGACATCCCACGAGGAATGTGGATGGGAGACCGATCCCTGCCATTTTAAGGGCAGATCGACGCTGTCCATTTTCAAGTTCGAGAATAAAACAGTCGATAAGAATTCAAACAGCAGGTAAATCCCGCACTGATGGATTGAAATACCTGTTGATGGCCAGAGGCCCGTCGAGGACAACACGCTTGCGGCAATGCCGGAATTTCAGGCTAAAGTACCATGGAAATGAGGCCAATTTACGCCATTAGTCTTAGGTTCACAGTCTGAGGGCCTTGGCATCCACCCAATAACTAGGGTTTGAGACAAACCTCTTGATGAGGGGGAAAGAAATTAAAAGGAATAACCTTATAGAACTAACACCACACCCCAGGATTGCCATCCCTCCTGAAGTCACTCACTTGCCAGGAGGATGTCGGCCTGGTATCGCTTTGACCAGAGATCTGATCGTTGAAACGTTTCACCGGCGGCTCCTCTGGTTCAGAGGATCCATCGTAGTACACCGACGATCATCCACAGGATTACCCTTCTCAGGTTGAGTTCGCGGTCATTCCTGAGTCGTGCACGAGGATGACCATCGAAAACACATACTGGAAAAACGTCCTCACGGTCGTCCCCATCGTGGGTGCGGCCATCGCGACCCTCACATATATTCTCCGGCTGGTATCCTGTCGCATCTCCACAGTAGGGCTGAGGCTGGAAGACCTCTTGATGGGGATCGGCTTGATTCTTTCCTACTGCGCCACTGCTTTTGTTATATATAGTAAGTCACTATCTCGAGGGGATATTCCAAGATAGTGCTCACAACTCGTCAACAGCGGCATTCAATGGGGTGGGCGTCCGAACGAGTCTTTTGCCCCCAGATGAGCGGCATCACATCCAATTTGTGATAATCCCTTACTGTCCTCTGCGAAAAGTCTCACAGCGATGCAAGCTAATGCACCACTAGGGCTCATGGATGATTCAAAAATTCTGGGCACCGTCCATGGCATTCGTCAAGATCTCGATTATTGTTTTCCTCCAACGCATCCTGGGCACGGTTCCTGCCTTTCGTATAGTCTCTAACTGCCTCATCGTCTTCATCGCTCTGTGGGCCGTCGTGGCGTTGCTCGTCAACATCTTCCAGTGCAATCCGGTCCAATTCTACTACGACAAAACATTGCAAGGAGGTCATTGCATGCACGGTCAGACCAAATTTTTTCAGGCTATGGGAAGCATCGCCCTGGTGGAGGACGTGACAATTTTACTTATGCCGGTGCCCATCGTCTGGCGACTGAAGATCACCTTGCGCCAAAAGATCGCAGTGACCATTGTATTTTCGTTAGGAGGCTTGTATGCTCAATCTTTGAATCCGGCACAAAGATCAGTGACTTTGGAAGCTGATTATCACAGGGTCTGTATATTCAGTCTGATGCGTCTTATTGAATTCCGCAACTTTGTTGTCACGGACCTCGCTTGTAAGTCTCCAGCCATTCTCGCGAAATGGAAAGAAGATGAAAAAAAAAAGCACGAACTGATCAATATATTTCCAATGCAGCATCAAGTGCCAAAGAGTCCATATGGACGGTCCTCGAACTCGATGTCGCCATTATCTGCGGTTGTCTCCCTCTCCTCAAACCCCTCCTGGCTGGATTTCTCGGCACCGTTAAGAGCATCTCAAAAGGCCAGTCCAATTCGGGCACGAAGTTATATTTCCACACAAGCGGTACGCACAATCATGATGGATTCCACAAGATTAGCGACCCGCACGGGGCAACGGCCAGCCAGAGTCGGGAGGTGACAACGCAGTCTACGCGGCGTGGGAGCTCGGAGATTGAACTGCAGGGAATCGAAGTACACACGGCGATTGAGAGTAGGTCAGATGTTGCAAATAGCCCTCATGTGGAGGGAAGGACATGGCCAATACCATGAAAGTTTGCCTAATTTTATAAATATAGTATGAGGAGCTATGACATTGATGTTAAAAACAACCTTTATCGCGGCCATTCACGGCCGTATTTCCACCGGTAACTCCGAACTTCTAGCCGGATGATGGGATATTTCATGTTGCTACCAATTCAGCCATCGCTGGGGTTCCAGGGGCACGTCCCTTTTCCAAATATCCCGTACACCAATCATAGTGATGGCCAAGCGGGCCTGATACTGGATGAAGGCGAGGGTTACGTGCCGGGTGTAACACGATTGGAGACCAGTGAACTGTACTTCTTCATACCATCTTTGGCGAAATGACTTTCACTAGCAGCGATGATCATTATGTTCCGATGCCACTGCCAAGACTTTAGCATGAATATTTGGTTAAGCGGGGGAGATGCGAGTGATATGGCCCAGCTGATTGTATAGGCTATCCATAGGCTTACCCAGACGTGGAAGTTCACCAGTCGGGGCCTAATGGGCAACTGATGGGAGGCTAAGAAGTGTTAAGGCTACCATAATGTCTACAAGTAGCTGCATCTGCCCCCAAAGAGAACTATGAATGTTACGCTTTGTCTCTTAGCTGAAAGTTTAACTAAAGGGCGCGAGTCGAGGGACTACATGGACAGGATTGCAGGTTTAACTGGGAAGCAAAGCTCGTCTATGATATGTCTCATAGACCACCTTGGCAAGTAACACATCTGACGCCACTTCGGAATATGCACGAAGTTGAGTAATATAGCCAATTAGGAGGTGAATGCTGTGGATTAGTCAATTCTGCAGTCCATGCCGTGGGTCCTCTCCTACCCAATCGCCGGGGTTTATCAAAGCTCAGCATGCTGCAATCTCTTTCAAGTACGGAGGGTTATTCGAGCCACTGCCGGTCTGTTGCTATAAGGCGACATGATCAACGGACATCGGAATTATGGAGCTAATTACGGCCCGCACCGCCTTCCCCTGAAGCATGGACCGCTTCTCGCATTGTATCCAGAGTCCTAGCGTTAGATTGTGCACCGCCCTCTTGGGAGGCGAACCATAGATTGTATCAGTAGAACGGGGAGCTCTGACAACGTCCCTCAATCCAAGCCCCCATGAGATGTCGACTTCACGTTCGTCACATAATTCAATCGCACTCGGGAACAACATTCCCGTCGTTAATCTGTTGGCGATTTCCATTTTGCCGTGAGAGAATAAGATGATGACGTGGCTCCTATCATCAAGAACAAGATGCAGGTCTCATCCCACCCTCCTGGACGTTTGATTCGCATATAGAATTCTAGCAGCTATGTAACTCCCTCATGGGAACCAAGTCACAAGGCAGTATACTTATGCAGGAGTGTCCAGGTCCGGTGATCTAGGCAGCTCGGTGCTAGCTACCGTAATCTATGCTACAATACTGGAGTAGATGGCTGAAAGGTGAGTGTTTTCATAAAGTTTTCCTCTGGGTATGATGTAGATAGCGAAATCATGATTGACAAAGATGTGAACTAAGATTGTCCAGAAAGTATGTAGTTGGCAACAAGGCGTTGTTCAAATTAGTCCCCGGATTGGAGTATATCTGATCATCCATATATGTAAATCTATACTCGGTATGCATTTGTTGCTGAGATCCCTTCGGAGGCCAACTCCAGAATGGAGGCATGATCGGCCAGCCTCAGTTTGATGGCAGGCTGAAATCCTATTGTAGATTCTATTGAATTTAGTCCCCTCCTGTGATGCCATGTAACGTGGGCTGCATATACTGCTTCTAGCCACACCACCCTCCCTCTTCTTGATCTCCCTACTGGAATATCATCATAATGAGTGAAATTTGAGGCGAAGGGGGATATATTCAAGTAGTTCCAATGGCTTCGATATCTCGATACAGCATAGAAATTATTCCTCTTGGGCAAGTCTACTAAGCATATTTCTAAGTTTATCGTGTTTTTTGCAACCATGGCTCTTCCCCCTCCTGAAGGCATTGTTTGGTTTGATCGAAGTGTACTCAAGAATGAAGTTGCCAACCTTGATGACGAGGAGCAATCTCGAAGTTTTGCCCTGGTCGAGGCGGTTAACAATCGTTCCTATGGCGAGGCGTACAAGGGGAATGATGATCTCTTGCTGCCATTTGAGCCTCATCCGCGGGCTGGCAAGCAGTCTGTTTCATTTGATGCCACCAAATACGTCCGATGCCAGCGTTTAAATTTCATGGTGGGACCGAACGCCAAATCAATGAGGCGACAGATTACTTGGGATGCAATGCGGGACGTGCGAAATTTCCAGAGACGCACCAAGAAGTTTACAATAGCCTTCCTCCCTGCTCCAATACCCACCAGGGACGAGCGATTTCTGTGGTCGATCCGACGTCCCCAGACTGCGCTCTCTACCTGCCACTCTCCCGCACGGCAGACCGAAGAGTACCCAGATTCGTGGCCAACGTCCACCCCAACTTCCGCATATATGAGCTGTCCTTGAAGACATACAGACCGCATGATGTTTTAATTGAAAAGGTATCGTCCACCGTGGGTGAGACGCTAGGGCCAGCCAGCCAGATTATCGGGCAGACTCTAGGCCATAAAGTCGGTGAGGTGGCATAGCATGCTGTTCACGGTCAGTATGTCCCCGGCAGTAAAAAACCTGTACCGGAACCCAACTTGATCAAGGAAGAACCAGATGAGATTGAGCGGCGCCTCCCGAACTTACTGGGCAGGGAACCTGGTTATCAAGACCGGCCAGAGTGGACGATGCGCGTTGATGCTCACGCTCTAGTTGAAATGCTGATTCTCCCCATACACTCCCACCCACAGATTTACATCAGTACATACTGATATGTCAAACTCTTCCATGCCACAGCAATCGACAATACCAGAGTCGCGACAGTCACTCAGAAGGCGATGGATGCATGAGTTGCGGTCGGCTATGCCGGGCTGATGAGCAAACATGGCGGTATCCCATTGGACTACCAGGCCACAGGGATGCTGGAGAGCAGTATTCAGCAGATCCTACTGGGTATCATCACTCCCAAGGCCAGCATGCTCCCTGTTGCCGGCACGGTGCTCTCACTGGGGTTGGGCTATCTCGCAGAATATCTCGACGATCCACAGGCAAGGTTGACCAAATACAGTGTAGCCAGGAAGGGGACGGAAATAGGACTCATGTTCATTCAGGGAGCAGAGTATGTTAGAAAGTACTACGCCAGTGGCAGGATTCCGGGTATTCAGCTTCCTCGCAGGCCGAAAGTCGATCTATGTCGGCAAAGATGGAGAGAAAACACAAGAGCAAGAGAAGGAGCGAGATGAGAAGACGGTCGAAGTTACAATTGACGAGATTGAGGACCTACAGAGGGAGTTTGACATGGAGGATGACGATGAAATACCGGCAGTCACATGGCTTGGCTATAGCCCTCTTTTGATCGAAAAGTAAAGAGGAGATTCAATGAAGTTCGGTGAGCTTACAGCATTACACGAGGATCTGTGAAATCGACACGGACAATGACCACTCTTGCCTTATATAAGGCTCGGCCGAAATCTAACTTCATCCGATGCAGGTGTTGTTGCAGAACTACGGAAGACACGACCCGCGATATTCGGACCCAATGGCGGGCTTTCAAGGGTTTATTCTCTGACTAACATGAGCTGGACATGCAGTATGTTCATCGGGCCTATTCTTACAGGCACTCTTACCCAAACAGTTGGATATTACTACATGAACTTCTGTCTCGGTAAAGCTCCGCCCTCACTCCTGGCCATATGTATCGCCATGCTAATATTAGGAATATCGCCGTGATTATCCGTGTAATATGTAGTATTCTGACTTCAGTATATTTCCATCAGAAGTAGATCTGTATAGAGCGGCGGGCGACACATTAGCAAAGTGAATAAGAGCAATTTGAGGGTTGATAGAGTACTTAACTGCAATCAAATAAAAGGTCTTTTCGGAACTGTGACTGTCTTCGGTACCGTCGTAATGGCTATCAACAGGTTTAGTCAAAGATAAGTGGTCTATCTTTGCTAGTTACGGAGTTTGATCTGCTTCAGAGGGAGATATCACACATATCAGTCGTTTAGTTCACATATTTCGTTACTGGCTACCCCGCCATGTCAAGGGCTGGTTTTATAGGCTATCGCATCAAAGAACGTAATATATCCATTCTCATAGCAAATACAGAGGTATATATTCATTGGTCGACATACTCCCAGATGGCGCGAGTATACAAGGCCTTTGATTTAGGTAAATACTAAATATCCGCCCCCCCCCCCCCCCCCCCGTCCATACCTCACCAGTGGTAGCCTTTAGTTGACCTGGAATTTTATTTAACATACAATAAACCAAGAGCGGGCTGTTAGAATGCATCTGTATGACACATATCTCCCCAAGCAATGGTCTCCTGTCCCTCCTCGCCGAAGATGGACTACCTTCGCTGAATCGAGTACTGTCCTCGGCGTAGTGTCTTTCCCACATCGGAAATCCAATGGAGTCTTTTGCGGCAACCAAGCAACATGACGGTGAGAGAAACTCGGTGACTTCCCTCTGGAGTCCCAGTAGCAGGGACTACAAACGCCGAGTTCATGAGATGCTTTGCACGACATGGTATTCAAGGACTTTGGGAAGACACAAACGGTTAACGATATCATAAACTCGCAATTCGTGTATTATAATAGTAAGTGGGCTATTGTTCTATACAGCACCCGCATGGTCTTTGGTATCCTTAGTTTCTCCATACTCTCCACCCTGACGACTGTTTTCATTCCAAAAGCTCAGGTTACCCTGCTGTCGTAGAATGCCATACATGGCACTGCTATCCAAGCATTCTCCGCCATAGTCTCTTGCTGCTTTCATGTGTTTATCGGCTAACTCAAGTCCGGGTAATTTAAAGTCGTGCTCTCTGCCCATTGATAGTGCATGTTTAGCGTCTTTGATGGCCAATGAAATGCCAAATCCCGGTCGTGTATCGAGTGGCGGTGCATATATTCCGGATGTCAATCTCATGGGAGGTTAGCTTGGGTAGCTACCACAGGGAT